CTACTTGGATAGCAGGGCGCAAAGTCCTTGTCCATTTCCAAGTACAAAGTAGGTTGCTAGAAAATTTGAAATTGCCTTTCAGCCTAAAGCTGCCTTACCTGAATGTCATAATTACAGTAATTATGTACATCCAAATTACATGCTAATTAAATTAGAATCAAATCGTTCTAAATCGAAATCAAATGAGGTAGTGAAGAATTAATCAATGACAACATAAATAGAGAGCTTCCTTCAGAGATATTTATTGTAACGATCCAAGGAGGAATTTGATCTGAAAAAGTCACCTGTTTATTTACTTTCAAATTAGTAATCAGTTATTATCCCTTCTCCATAATTTTAACCGTTCAGTGTTATTTACCCCCACTCTTTCCAGACGCTGGAGTTTATAGAAATATGTATGAGGTAAATACATACAGACATGCCTACCCTATATGTTATTGATATAAATATATACAGTGTGTTTGCAACTCCAGTTAAGGGAAGGTTTCAGCAAGTCCGTGGAAACATGTTCCTCCAGGGCCTGTTCTCAGGGACCCGGGAAAGCAAAGCAAGGCTTTAGATTTTCCAAGATCCTTACACTCTCTTCCTTTAGAATTCATACCAGGGATTTTACATTGTTTTGCAAACATCCAACCATTTCTGGGTGATCTATTTATTTAAAAAATGCAGATTGATAAGTTCCCTCTCCAGCCCCCACCCCTGCTCCACCGCCCACCGCCCACCCCCCGCCCGGCAACTGCGGTCTGTTTTCTGCTTGTAGATTGCTGGCGAGAGTCAACATTTTCATTTTTGCCCTGGGAACAAGAGATTAGCATCAGCGTCCTAAAGCGCCCTCTTCACCTGTGGAGCCCAAGAGACAAGAGAGATTCGCTCGCTTTCCTAACTAGCGAAGTCCCCTCTCCGACCTGCAGAGGAGAAACGCGCGGGAGGCCGGGAGAGCTTAGGCAGGAACTGGTAGGCGAGGGCGCGTGGCGGCCCTGGCGCCCTGGTCCCCAGGGCGCAGCTCCCCTGGCCCACAGCCTGGAATTTCTGAGTGGGCCACCGGTGGGGTCAGGGGTGGGGAGGAGGACCGGTGCTGCGAGTTAGCCCGCATCCTTTCCTGTTACACGTTGTCGGTGGGTAGTCCAGCGGCCTCCTCGCTTATTCTAGGAGGCCGACGAGCCCCCTAACAATCAGGCTTTCATCTGGGTTTGAGGTGCGTTCAGGTTGCCAGACGCGTGCCTAGGAAAGCATAACGGTGCGCAGGGGTAGAATCGCCTCTGGGGATGTGAAGAGCAAGCCAGCCCGGGACTCACTCCAGCCCCCGACTCCAGCCCCCATCTGGCCTTCTTTCAGTCTAAGGCGAGGTGCTTGGAAGCCACGATCCGGTCAGCACCCAAGCCTCCGGACCTCCGCTTCTGCCCACCGCATCTGGAGGACCTTCAGACCGAAAGGACTGGGGTTTTCCGTGTCTACGAGCCAGGGAAAGGCGACTCACGGGCAGTTTGGGCCAGTATGTGCATTTCTTTCCCTTCCAAGACGTTTCCTGCGTTTCACGCCGCTTCATTATTAAGTTATATTCTGAGGCTGTTAAGTGTGGCGTGAAGAAAGGAGAAAGGGGGTATAGGATGAGGATCTGTTTCCGCTTCTGTCAGCAGGAACGGGGTTTGAGGAGATTCACCAGTTCTGGGTTGCCATTGCATCTCCCAAACCTTATAGTTCCCTCCGTCTTAGTTGTTGCTCACAACTTTTAAAAAGCATTTCTCCTTTTTGATCTGAAAAACCCGCTCCCAAGACCAGCAGCTATTGCATGCCTTTATTTCTTTTCAAGTGGTAACTATCTAGGTTTTCTTTTCAGAAAATCGAAATAAGATTTCTTAATACTTCTCAGCTACTGAAGCTAAAATGCAGCTTTCTCCCAGATCTTATTAAGCACAGGGTGTGGAGGGTGCGGCCTTGCAGAGTGGCCTCCTCCAGCGCACCTCAGCCCAGTGGTCGTTTCCTGAGGAGAGGAAAGTGAAATGGCTTAGGTGGATTTTAAAATCTTTGAGAGTCAACGCTGAAACAGTAAATATTTGGTGATTAAAAATGGGAAACGCCGAGCTCCGAACAGCACCGACTGATGTGATTCACTGTCAGCAAGCCATCTCCTGGAAGAACAGCAAGGAAGGTCTTGCCAAGCCTTTCAGATAAAAAGCTTTCTTCAGATTAAAACCGTATGATACAAAGCAAGATCTCCATTTCCCACTGCAAGGTAAGCAGAAACCTGCTGCTCTGCTGCAGCAACCTTGCCTATTCTGGCACATTTATTAAATTAAATGATGACTAACCACATTCAGATAAACAAGTCCTAACCTAGTAATCTGATCATGCCTGACCATTTGTAAATCGACAGCACCTCCTGCAGGAATTAATTTGCTAGTGTTAAATAACGTTAAATGTTAAGCCAGGGAAAGGGGAGGAAGAGACCTCAATAAAGTCTCCGAAGTTAGCCAGTGCTATGTCAGGCCATTGGACAAATTAGAACTGTCACTAGGTACACCCAGATTTCTTGAAAAGAATTTCTCTATTAAGGGTCAGAAGAATGACTTATCACCAGACTTTTCCTGTGGTTTTCTAAAAAAAAAAAAAGATACTGTTGAGGACTTTAGTTCTCGAATCATACGCATTAAACTTGGAGGACTCTTTTTTGGAGTTAGTACTTAGGGAAACCTCTACACATTCAACTAGACATACTTTCTATTATAAGCCTTGTCTCTGGTTTTTACCTGTACTTCAAAGGCAAAAGGATAACAAGATGCTTAACATTTAAAAAATCACTTTCAATTGCTTTTGCCTTTATATTAGAATATGCAGAACAAGTCAGGTGAGCCTCTTCAGAACTGTTACCATGTTAAGATTATACGTGAAAATGCCTCCCTTTAGTTTTTGTTTGCCAAGTGAGAATGCTAGCCCCTTGGGGCTGTCTGGTACCCTTGGTTGACCAAGTCTGAAAGTCAAACAGCAAACCAACATTTTCCATAACTACATGTGAATTTTTCTCACCGCTGGGTTGATAATAATATTGGGGGTGCTGGTACCGCTTTATAGTTTCTCAAACAGTGAAGGATAAGTTAACCAGAGATTTAAAAAATTCTTGCGGCCACCTTCAAGTTAAAAGGGGACCACACTTTTGTGTAAGTGTTAAATGATAATGTGTTTAATTCATTTTAATTACAGGATGCATTTCAACATTTCCCTTCATGAACACTACAGGTTCAGAAATCCTTGAAGGCAGTAAGTATTGCATAGGTTTTGACATTATCAAAATTATAAAGTCTAAAAAGCATAACATAGGAAATAATCAGTGCGACACTGATGAACTCAAGGTGTAAATTAGCAGTCTTGATCAATCTCAAATGCATGCTTTCTTTTTTTAAATGAAGAAGGAAGGGGATCTTTGAGGTGCACAGTAAGCTACTGAAGAGTACAGGAGGAGGAATTCAAGTTCTCCTCTCCCAACTCTTAAAAACGTAAATAATCAAAGAGTTGCTTTATGCCTTCAGTTAGCTGCTTGTAAATCAGAGGACATCTGTGTGTGCATATGTAAGATACACACCAGATACACAGTCTTACAGTAATTCTTCTAAATTACTTTCTTATAAAATTTATTAAACTAGTACTGCCAATTCTCAAAACCATCTGAACTAATGAGTACTTGTATTATATTAAAAAAAGGTGTTTTTAAAATGTGGAACCGATAATACTTGCGTATGTGATGGTTAGTATGTATTTTTTTGAATTGCATGTTACTTGTAATTTGAACTAAATCATTTTTTCTATAGTTCTCCTTTACCATACACTTTGAAACACAAGGGGAAATTTATAGCTAAATTTATGTATGTCACACATACCTATACTTATGAAGTATATCTAAACAGCTTACTAACTTATGACAATAGATGCTTAACCTTTAGAAGTAAACTGCGTCATGGATGAATGTCCGTAGTTGGAAGGCCATCTGTCCTAGGTGGAATGGCGGCCCCTAATGACACAGCAGTCCTAACCCAGAGCCTGTGAAGGTGTTAGGTCACATGGCAAAGGGGAGTTAAAGTTCCTGACAGAATGTAGGTTGCCAATCAGCTGATTCTGAAATACGGCGATTATCCCAGTCTCCTGACAGGCCCAATGTAATCACAAGGGTCCCCCAAAGTAGAAAACAATGCAGAATGTCAAAGTGTCAGAGCAATTAGGTGTAAGAATTTGACTCGACTTCGTTAGTTTTGGAGACAGAAGAAAGGGGCCAGGAGCCAAGGAATGCAGGTGGCCTCTAGAAGCTGGAAAAGTCAAGCAGATTTTTCCCAGAGCCTCCAGAGCGAACCAACTCTGCTGACACCTTGATTTTATCTCAGTGAGACCCATTTCAGACTTCTGATCTCCAGAACTGTATTTGTGTTAAGACTGAGGTAATTTGTTAAGACAGCATAGAAAATTAACACATCATCCAAATGTAACTAGCTTCTTACCCTAGAGCAAAACAACTGGAAGGAGTTTAAAGTCTTAAAGTAATACTGATCAATTCATTACTTAATTCATACCAGGGAATTTCTACAGTGATTACACTTGTCTTCAAGTAAATTCAAATCTTAAAAGTAATAAATGTGAATTGAAAAAAATAATTTAACTATATCCATTCAATGTACTGTCATTCTTCTAATGATGAAAATGTCACAGAGTCATAAGGGGTTTTTATTTCAGTATAGGGTACAAGAAACATGTGTCAACAGAATATATTTTTACAGCCTCCAAATAGATTACTTACAAATATTTGCAAAGTTTATTCTTATGGGATTCATGTAGTTTTGTACTTGATGGAAGTTTACAGAGATGAAAAATTAAAATAGAGCTTCTTATTAGAAAGACAACAGTATACAATTTAGCCCTTGCTAAAGGTATTCAAGAAAAAAGTGGAGATATTTATTCTCAGTTAACTGTCACATGTTTAAGTCTCTACTCTCTACTTCTGCTCCGTTCTTTTGGCGTCACTCTAGTATGCTTATCTCCCGATAATGCTCTCTATGCACTTTGCCTCCTCTGCACGCATCCGTGCCACGGCATCTGGTGTCACTTCTGTCCCGCTCTTCACCTGGGCTGCGCCGCGGCCGTTTCCTTACTTCTCTCGGCTTGTAACTGCCGTGACTTCTGCTTCGGCTTCTCCTACTCCTCTCATTCCGGCTCTGGCTCCCGCTGCTCCTCTCCTTTCTTCCAGATCCTCTCTTCTCTGGACTCTGGTCATGGCTTCTGGGCTTTCTGTCAGAATCAGAATGGCTCCATTTGCTGTTCTCCCCAGAACGCTCTTGTTTTAAAAACTTAGGCTTTTCCTTGTTACTGCGACTGCAAGAACGGTCTTCGTCCCGTTTTCTCTTCTTAGACTTGTCTGTCTCTTCAGAATCACTGCTGTGATCCCCTGAACGCTTGTTTTCCTTTCTTTTCTTCTTCTGGACTTGTTTTCCTTTGCTGTCACTCGCACTGCTGCCTTCTGAACTGTCACTAGAGGAGGAGGAGGAGAGTGGGGAGGGGGAGGGGGAGGGGGAGGGGGAGGGCTTGCTTTTCTGTTTTTTGTGTTTACTTCTGCTCTTCTGAAGCTTTTTCTTTTTTCTATCTTTTTTCTTTTTCTTTTTTTTCTTCTCAAGTCGATCTAATTTCCTGTTATTAGAAAAAAATAGTAATAGCTATGTAAAAATAGTCTGTCCTTTCACTGATAAATATAAAATTTTGAATAGACAATACAGTTTCTTAGAAACATTAAAAGTGGTGTTAAAAAAAAAGTGGTGTTCAAATACAAATTCTTTACTTTTATTAAACAACAAATAATTTTCTTCCTTTTAAATTATTCAAGGCACATACACAATAAGTTTAAAAACATTAATTGTCTAGGTATACTGTCCTCTATAGTAATGACTATTAAATTTATTTTTACTGAATAAGAATTGGAAATTATATAGTATTCAACATAATCGTCACTGTGGCATAAAGAAAGGTCTGTAACATTAGCTGGACCAACTGCAAACTCAAATATAAAGCTCTAATCAATGGAACATTAATTTTATGTATGTACTATTTTAAAATATGGAAATACTAAACAACATTACACTGTCAAAATTCAAGAGCATATTCTCCAGAAATTCAGAATAACAATATATTTTTACATTTTTAAATACTGTATTTAAAAATGTCCTCACTGGATTCTGTCCAGCCATCCTCAAAACTCCACATATTGAAACAACATGAGCTCCCTCTATTGGACTCACCAGACATTTCTTGGATTCTTTAATCCAGAGGTAGTCTGTTTAACATGATTCATACTTACTTTAAATTTTAGCATTTTCAGGATTCCTCATAAAATCATACAAAATTAAAGAAAGTAATACATGGCCCACAATATCTTCTAAGAACAAACTGTATATAAAGATATATAAATCTACTATGAAAAGTAAAACCTACAAATAAATCTATTTCCAAATTAAATTTTCTGAAAAGTGCAGTGACTCTGTTGGTATAAGCTGAGTATATAATCTTACATTCATTTTCATATTCCTGAAAGACAAAACTATATTACTGTAGCTGAAGAATAAATCAATACATATATGTGATACATAAATTAAGTACCTTAAACTTAGGATCAGAGTTGAATATGACACTAAAATGAAACATAAGAAAAAATGTAGTTGAATTAATTAAACAGACACTTTTTAATCACCTGAGGAGTTTCTGTTTTTGTTTGGTTGTTAGTGACTTTAAAAATTCAACTTCTGGATCTTCTTCACCCTCGCTTGCAACATACTCCTAAGTCAACAAAAGCATCATAAAATTGCTAGATTAGAAAACAAGTTAGTTGTCAGGAAACATTTACAGCTAAGTTTTATATTAGGGACATACTGTTGATGAGTATGACATTTGGATTGGAAAGAGGAATTCAAAAATTTTTGTAGTCTATCTGCCAAGGAGGATCATAATGCCCTAAGAGATTAAGATGACTGCTTTATCAGGAGAGGACAATAGAGAAACACAGACAAAATGTTTAAAGCATGGCTTCTACTCTCTCTTGTTTTTATTTTTTTTTAACCTTTCTGTTTTTATTTTTTAAAAATGTATTTATCTTTAATTGGAGGATAATTGCTTTACAATTCTCTCTTAAGTTTGAATTGAAACACTTCTGGGTTTAAATATTTTCTTTTTAATTTAATGAAACATAAAACCCAGGAAGATCACAAACTTTACAGGAAGGTCAAAACACCCACACTTTTTGCCTTTATAATTTCAACAGTACATTATTAAATATATAAACAGTACATATACATAATAAATGGGCTTTCTCTGGTGGCTCAGAGCTCTCTGGTATTCTCAGGTAAAGAATCTGCCTGTAATGGGGAAGACTGGGGTTTGATCCTTGGGCGGGGAAGATCTCCTGGAGAGGGGAACAGCAACCCACTCTGGTATTTTTGCCTGGAGAATCCCACTGACAAAGGAGCCTGGTGGGCTACAGTTCATGGGATTGCAAAGATTAGGACACGACTGTGACTAACACTTCACTTCACTTTACACAGTAGATAGGTTGTACGTACAATCCCTAGCAATGTTTGAGATGGAATGTGACTCTCTCAGAGCAGTACAAGTTTATGCCGGTGGGAGTCTGGGTTTTAGTCTCAGCTCTGTCTTTAAATAGCCACATGACCTTAGGGAATCACTTAACTTCTGTGGGCTCCAGTTTCCTCATTAAATGAAATAAATGGTTTATATTAGAACATCTACAACCTTCATACTCAACCATTTCTGGATCTATGTACAGTTTAATCAAGTAACTGTTTAAAATATTTTCCATTATTTTTATACCCTTCTTCTCATTGGTTCTGTTTAACATCACTTCAGGGTAAGTTAGCAGGAAAGAAAAAGTTAACAACCTTATCACCAGATCAGTTAGGTATTTTATCCACAAAAACCCAGAGAAGCAGCTTTGTTTATTAAAGTATAGGTTTAAAAACAATTTCGCATTTAGGTTAAAATAATAAAGAAGCAAAATCAAAATGTATTTTAGGTATTTTCTTTACTCTATCTTGCCTTCCTATGGATATATGCATATTGGAAAACATTAAGTAGCAATTCACAAGCAATCACATTTAGATTTATAGACATTTTCAGCTTACTGAAAAAAAGATCATTACCTGTGATGGATCATTTGCGGTCAAGTTTCTCCCCAGTACATTTCGTTTCAGTGCAAACCCACTGTTTCTCATCTCCGCTATTAGCTCCGAGGGGTGCATCGATGGCCCTGTTCACAAAAATCACAGTTTGAATGTATCATTTATATCTCTCTACCTTTTTCGGACTCCACAGTAGGAATGCAGTTGAAGCTTTGTTAAATAAAATCACAGCTAAATCAACTCAATAATCTTCTGCTGAGCAAATAATCAGATATGATTTTCTAAAACAGCAGTCTGGAGATTCAGAATAGAAAATAATTGCATTTTTCTTTACATGCTAGGGTATTCTCTTCTTATGTAACTTTGTCATAGTGAAAAAAATACACTTAAATGTTATCTTCTTGGTAGTTTTCAGTATAAAATCAAAGCAAAATGATTAAAAGACTGCAATTAAAATTTTTTGAATTAAATTTTTAATAGTTATTCTCTCAGTAAGAATTCAATTTAAAAAGAGATACTTTTAAAGATACATGAGCAATTTATTATTCTAGTTTCCAATTCAAAATTTCTAACCCTTATTGATCAAATACCAATACTGAATTCATTGTCATGTGGTTGCTAACTCATAGACAGACAGACAGACAGACACACACACACACACACACACACACACACGCTATCAGTAACCATCAAGTACCTTAGTTATAATCTTGCACATATACATACCCAGAATTTGAAGCTTCTAGTCATTAGTTTGGGGTTGGTGACAAGCAGTTTTACACTGGTTATATGTGTGTATGTGTTATATTTTCTATAAGCTGTTGTTTGCACTTTAGCAAAATCCCCAAACTTTTTGAAAAGTGAGCTTGTTTTGGTAACATGATATGCTCTAAAGACAAAATATGGGCTAAACACAGACATAATTAAAAATAAAAAAAAATTTAAAGATATGTACTCTTCCGTCAAACATTATTATATTTATGTAAGATAAGAGAGACTCTTTCCTCCTTCTTTTGCATATTCCAGTTTCACTTTGTTTTCCCTGCCAGTATTAAATAATGACATTTCATGAAAGGTTTTTAAAAGTTTCTGGCCTAAATCATTACATTGGCTCCAATGACCTACACTGGGCAATGTATCTGGAATACAGGGAAGAACAGGACAGTCCCTGCCAACAAGGAATTCATATGGGAAGTTGGGAGGATGGAGAAACAGTCAGAAACTGATATTCTAGTTTGCTGACTGAATATGTCATCTAATTTCTTTATTCTTTTAACTGCTCTATTGGTCTTTTAACTATTGATACTTATTTGCAAGCTCACTTACATGTTACCATAAAAAACAAAAGGAAATAGGCAATACAGTTTAAATCTGTTCTCTGGTCAGTAGCATCTCTGGTAAAAAGTTTGGTCAGACAAGTTCAGGTGTAGGTCACTAACTCTTATTGGACTCTGGGCGTTACCATTCTAGTCATATTAGCAAAAACAATTGCAAATTGCCTATAGGTATTAGGGAGATAATTAGAAAAATAGCCTATTATTGGTATGGGAAGTATTAATAATGTGATGCTTTAATTTATTGGGGGAAAAACCCTTATTTATTGAAAACAAAAACATCATAAAGCAGTACCCTTGACTGATATATTTCATTTTTAAACAACACGATTTTTTGTTTCTTTTATACAATTAGTTCCTGTGGATTACTTTAATGACTTTAAGAAAAATTATTCAATTTGGTTGATAATATTGATAATAAGATGTTAAGTAAAAAACTGAATTTTAAATATTAGTATGGATTGCCTCTAAATGCACTGAAGTGCTAATATAATAGCTTTAAATTAATTATAGACTGTTCACTTTGGTGCCTTCTCAAATTTCACATGTAGAAACATAATTTTATAAAGTAGAAAATGTCTTTCCTGAAGTGTCAAAACTACATTTCTTTGTCAACAACTTTTTAGATGTTAAATGAATTCAGAAAGCAAACATGTTAAGAATTAGGATAAAAAGCACTCCAGTGAAGGGCTAAAGAGCTTTGGCCATTATGATGAGAGGGTACTGATTTCATCAGTTTTCATCAAAAGATGGGTAATTTTAATAAAATGTATTAGAAAACATGGTTTAAATTTTTTTATTACAGTATTTCCAACCACTTCAAGAAAATGATCTCTTTTTCCCCAGGCTGACAGAGATTATACAGGCTATGAAACAAACATTACTCTTCCACCACTTGTATTTCTCCAAAATCTTAACTGAGATTTTATAGTATATATGCTTAGCACATACTTTCACACTGTATGACTCTAAATACAGTGATTAGTGAAGAATTAACAAACAGTACTCAATAAATAACAATCTTTTTGTCAGTAGCTATAACCGTTTAGGATTATTTTATATATATATATATATTTTTTTTTTTTTTTTACAAAAAATGTTCTTAATAGTAACATTTTTCAAAACCCAGACTTATTCACTTCATTTGGTACTTAAACTTTCTCCTTCTATCATCACAAATTCTAGGTTTAAAAGATGTGACATATCAAGTTTAACTAAGATATATTTAGCAAGATATCTTTATACTTTCATGTTATTGTGATAGTGGCTAGGTAGAGTTAAACTGACAGACATGGCTCCAGCTGAGAGCTCAAAATTTAATTGATATAATAGATTATACAGATACGTTAAAAAGACAGATTTTACAAATATGTTCAAATGCAAAATGATTGCTTTTTTTGGATACCTTAATAATTTAAATTATACATGTAGCTGGGGTTTAGGAATGTTTGGTTTGCTCTTAAATTTGCTATGGCAGAATGATTCTAGAGAACTCAGAAAAAAAGGCTGCTGCTGCTGCTGCTGCTAAGTCGCTTCAGTAGTGTGCAACTCTGTGCGACCCCATAGGTGGCAGCCCACCAGGCTCCTCTGTCCACAGGATTCTCTAGGCAAGAATACTGGAGTGGGTTGCCATTTCCTTCTCCAAGAAAAAAGGGCATTTGTTTTAAAATGTAGATTTGTGAGGGATCCTTTCTAGATCACTTCAGCCAGGCTGGGTTAAGCCTCCATAGCCTGAAAACCAGTGTTCCAAATTAGAAAAGCAGGTCCATGGAAGAAACTTTTCAGCATTCATTAATTTTGCAAACTTGCTTCGCTATGATATGTGGGTAAGCATCAAAATACTGATTGTGACTATAGTATGCAGTTCTGTGTCCTGATTAGACCCAGACTTTTTTCTACTAGAAAAATACCATGAAGTCAATGTCACAGAAAAAAATTCTCCGAAGGCAAATTATATTGTATTAAAATTATGTTTGTGAAGGGTTTAATTTGTTCATTAAGAGCATTCATTTTTATAGAACTAAGCAAAAGCAACAGAAGGTAAAAAAATCTTCTGTAGTAAAATAGGTATTTTATTAAAGAATAATATAGGAATCCGAAGGGCTGGCTGTGAGAAAGGCCCTATCGTGACTTCACAATTAGAGGGCAGGAGTCCCAGGTGAAGGCCACACACTGCACAGGAGGAAGACGAACGCTCAAGGCAGAGGTACTTCCTGTGTTTCACTGTTAACCTAGGTCCATCTGCTCTTCCTAAGACAGAGGGATCTTCCTTTCAAAATTCATCATTCCTTTCAAAAGAAGAATTACCTTCTACTATTTTACGGTATCCAGCGGGAGAAGACAGAGCACTGAGTTCTAGGTTAAGAATAGCTGTATTAGAAAGACTGCCCTCCTTCCCCCGAATATACTAATTTAATTTATAGGATGCTACTGTTTACTGGAGCATTGAACAACATCAACTGTTTGCTGGGACTAAAATGCTATTCCTAGAGTGAATATAATTTTGTTTGTGATGACAATGGCGATCAATTTTTTTCTTTCTTGTTCTGTGTGTGTATTTTAACTTTATATAATGAAAAATCTCAAACCTAGACAGAATAATGTAAAGAGCTCTATATACTCATCACACAGCTTCAACAATTATCAATATTTTACCATTCTTGTTTTATTTACTACCTCCAAGTATTTTTGTTTCTTTTTTGATAGAGTATTTTTCTCCCTCTCCTTCTCTCTTTTTGAGGTATAAATGACACATCTTAAATCCCTTTTAATCTAAAAAAAGTAGCCATTTTTCCTCATATGCCCCCTTTATTGCTATTCATTTGTTCAAGAAACTGGGTCATTTTTCCTGCAGAATTTCCCCCATTCTGGGCAGTGATGTCATTTAATGTTCTTTTGACCCTTGTATTTCCTGTAAATTAGCAGTTGGATCTAAAGGCTTATTATTAAATTATCTGGGTATTTTATAACACATACGTTAGGGGAATAATGGAAGGTTTTCTAAAATTGGGATTCAGGAAAATGACACCTGAAAACAAACACATTTTTGCTAACGAACTAGACTATGGAAAAAAGGCTGAGATTTCAACTTGGTATGTTCTTGCTTTCACCATGCTATTTACTGTGGTCATACTAACAGTGACAAAAACCTTAAAAATGTATATGTTTGAAAATAAACTCCCAAACATATCACAAATAAATTATGATTCTTATTTTCATGTAAAGTACGACATTTATTTCTTCTTTCTTTCTTGAAGTTAAACTGACTATACATTGTGAAAAATCCACACTCCCTGTCACTAAATGTAAAAAGGACACTTAGAAACACTAGTTATGTACGTGATTAAGAGGGAGAATTATCAAAATTATCTTATACTTGTATTTGATTCCTAATATTACCTAGCCTTTTTGCTTTAAAGAAAGCTTATAGAAAGTTATCTTAAAAAAAGACTGAAAAGGGGGGCACAGTAGGAGCGTGCAGCACACGTCCCAGGGAAAAAGTGAACAAAGCTATTAATAAAGTGTGTGGGTGATTTTTATTTATATAGATGAGAATGTTTTATGTATGATTTTCTAAAGGTTATGCAAGAACCAATTGTACTGAATCGTAATAAAACTGCTCCACACTGGGAATTTTCCCGACACATTGCCAGTTCAGCTTGGAAACAATAGGGTTTCTTACTGCCCTTATCCAAGTTCATACTGAAGAAAGCTAATCTGATCTTTATTAAGACATACAATACAAAGGAAAAATTAAACATTTCATTTTTGTCTGTGTATCTGGAAAATACACA